AAAAACCACCATCCAAGAGAAAACAAAGAAATATCAAAGGTATTACATGGGTCGGTAAGACATAGAACATAAAACTAAAGCCCTTCGCAGAATGAAACTGGCTCGATTAACGATTGGAACGAGACCATTTAATAACCAATCCAAAAAAGTACTCCGGAGAATTGAACCATTTTGGGAGGTCTGCAGGCTTTAGATTAAAAATAAAAAGAAAAAACAAAAAAATACTACTAAAACAAATGCAGGCAAAGCCGAAAATGAGGAATAACATCAAAGAGAAACAGGAATAGAGGTAACTAAGAAGGTGAAATACCTTAAGGGATAATGGTTACGCCAAAAAAATATAGATCTCTTCAAAAATAATAAACTACGAAAACGGTAATGGAAAGGAGTTAAGAAGGACATTAGAAACGTGGGGCCGGCTAAAATTGTCTTTTTGGGGCAGAATAGCCACAATTAAAATGTCGGTATTTCCAAGGGTCTTGTTTCTCTTTCAAAATATCCCGATCATTAAGGGAACTAAGATATTTAAAGCCTGGCATAGAGACATCTCCAGATTTATCTGGCAAGGAAAGAAGCCGAGAGTAAAGTTTAAAATTTTGACGGACACGAAAGAAAGAGGAGGCTTCGCCCTTCCCGATTTGAGGATATATTACGAGGGCATCCAGCCTATGTTGGATAAAGACATGGATAAAATTAGAAGATGGGGAAGTGCTAGACTTAGAGGGTCACGATAACCGATATGGGTGGCACGCCTATCTGTGGCATGGGGCGGAAGAAGGGCCATACAGGATTTGGGAACCATGTATTCAGGGGCCCTTTGTTGGAGGTCTGGGAAAGATATAAGGAGATGTTAGAACCCAGAACCCCCAATGGCTATCTCCACTAGAGGTATGGCCATCAAAAAGATCAATATGGAACCAACTGGGCAACGTATGAACAACTGCTTATCAAGGAGGAAGGAAAATGGAAAATGAGGCCGTATGAACAAGTTAAATCTCAAGTACATGATTGGCTACACTACCACCAAATAAATGATATGTTCAGGAAGACGTAAAAAACAAAGGCTATGCCGATAAAACTCTAGATTCCAATCTGAGGTTTCTGGGAAGCAACATAAAAATATTATCTAAACTGTACAAGTATTTACTGGACTGGAACTTAGCTGATGAGGAGGTTAAGGCGGTAATGACCCATTGGGCCAGAGATCTTGGCCGTAACATTTATTACGAAGAGTGGGAAAAACTTTGGAAACAACATCTAAAATTTACGGGCCTGTGTGACACTCAAGGAGAATCTAATGAAAATGTTTTATCGCTGGTACCTGACTCCGGTTAAGTTAGCCAAAATGTATGGATCCTGCAATAAATGCTGGAAATGTAAGATAAGGGAAGGCACGTTCTACCACATGTGGTGGGAATGCCCAAAGGTCACAAGGTTCTGGGAAAGTATTTATGATGAAATGAAAAAAATGCTAAGATATACCTTCAATAAAAGACCAGAGGCGTTCTTGCTAGGTCTGGTAGGAAAAGAAATTAAGAAGAAAGACTACAAATTGTTCCAATACGCAACAACGGCAGCAAGGGTTCTATTAGCAAAAAATTGGAAGCAGGAGAGTATCCCAACAACGGAGGAATGGAGAAGTAAATTATTAGAATATGTGGAGATGGACAGGATGACATGTAAAATTAGATATACAAAAGATCAGAGGTTTGTTGAAAATTGGAAAAGTCTCACGACATATCTGGAAAATTTAATCGAGGAACAAACAACACTAGTAGGTTTCCAAGAAGCTCTGTAGAGGAAAAGGGTAAAGCTAAAAGAAAATGGATGGACGAGAATGACTTATGGCTTATAAATATGGAAATGCGGATTTACTGTTAAATGTTATTTTGGACGATTCGTGAAATGACTGAAGGAAGTCAACTCTTTTCTTTTCCTTAAGTGACAAATATGAGTTATGATTAAGTTTGCTATGTATTTTGACTTTTGTAAACTAATAAAAATTACGCATGAAAAAAAAAAAAAAAAAAAAGAAAATCTCACCCGTATACAATCCCGTATACAAATAGCCAATTCAATTTCCTAGCTGCCAGCCTTTATGTGGCCAAAATGGAACCCTTCTTCCAAGGAAGAGAGGGAGGTACCAGTAACCTTGAGGCAGCTCCATTGGTTACGTATATCCAATAAATTTTTAGGTGAGGGGGAAAGATAGCCAAAGCCACGCAATGAGAACTGCACATGGTCTGTGGATACAGAAAACTGGCTGTGGGGGTGGGGCGCTGGTTGACAGCAGGAAAGGAAAACTGGAGAGGGATGGATAGCAGTGGAGTGTGCTGGAAAAGGGAAATGTTTTGGATCAGAAGCACTCAGTGCCTCAGCATTTTCATCCATGTCTTTACTGGACAGGCTGCTCTGGTGCTTATTACTGGAGACAGAGAGAGTACCTTGCCTTCAACTTCTTCTCAATGGCAGCATTCACCTCCCATCATCCACAGCCATAGATGACGATTGCTGAGCCTGATGGGGGTTGTAATTCAGCAACATCTGGAGGGCCAGAGGTTCCCACACTTACTTGCAGGCTCCATCCTAAGACCGAGTTCATCAGAGTTGGGTCCTTGTTGACTAAGAGCCCCGGGGATGATGGGAGTTGTAGTCCAACAACATCTAGGGACCCAAGACTGAATGACGTCGGCTTGTAGGATATATTGTTGCCTAGGCTAAGCAATCCTGGGTCTTGTGAGGAGGCCACACGTATACCACCTTGAGTTTCATGATGGAAGAAAGGAAGGATATGGCAGCAGAAAAGTAGAATGTTTCTTAAATAAGGCCCATGGTTGCTTTTTGCTAAGCCCTGCTATATAGGCCCGCAGGACTCCGTCTCATGTTGGATTTTTGGCAGGGATGTGTGTGTTGCCAGGATACTTTTTTCAACCTGCTTTCATTCTTTCTGTGTAAAGAATGTTAATCATTTTAACTGATTTTAATAGCATTATCATATTGCTTTTAACTGCTGAGGGTGGGGCCTTATAGTGAAGGGTGGCAACAAAATAATAATCTGAATACAGTGCTCTACATTGGGATACAAAAGGAGCAAGCTAGGATGAGTTTCGTTTTCCTAACTGGGCTCCCAGAATTGTTTCCTATGGTAATGACACACAGCATGAACCTCGCAGAAGTGAGTGAAAAGCAAAAAGAAACCTATTCAAGAATCCAGTTAGTTAGCTAACTTGACCGTGGCAGAAATGCATTTTCCCACCTTCCCTTGAAACAGCCTTGCCCTACAGTGCTGTGTCAGAAACTGTCCATGGCAACGGTCCCAGATCTCTGAAGGCAGGCAGTGGGGACGAGTGCTGCGTTGCCCTGTGAGGAACACAAAACGGCACTGGAGGCTGCCATTGTGGGCTCCATTTGTTCACTGTCACCTCCTGATTGCTTGCCTTCTCCACATCCACGCCACATTTAAATCACTCTAGTACCACTTCAGTCAGTCATGGATTCTCCCAAAGCATTCTGGGAGCTGTAGTGAGTCTGGCTGGCTGTTGCTGCTTGTCACTGTTCACTGTTTCTGTTTGTCTGTGAGGAGAATACAGGACACTGCAAAAGACACAGGGTGCCATAAGCCAGACAGAGAGTGATCCCTCCCTATACATGTAAATAGACTTCTGTTCAGGAGATTTCTGTATAGAGAACTCTTTATAGAGGGGAAAATAGGGAGTAAGTGAGGTTGGAGTGGAACCATGTTCGCATAAATATGACAATGTAAAATATGCTCTCCATTGTTACGTTGTAAGGATTTTAAGGTACCTGTGACCAACTCAAATAGTGTCCAAGAATTGACAGACGTAGCAGTGGAGAAAAAGAAAGTGATGTTTATTGCTGAGCAGTAATTGACCCAGTGGAATCCTTTCCAAAAGACTGTGCCCCGGGCCCTAGGGCCCAGAGGCTTTATACCTGAGTACATACATAATAGATCATGACATAATTGGATACAATTGCAAATGGCAGCAAAAATAAAGCTAATGAGTGCATTCAAGCCTCCCTCTTGATCATGTAAAGAGTTCCCACCCGACTTCTGCTTTTACAGTTTGAACATGCAGTCTTAACCTTTCCCCTGATTATGGCGAGGAGGGAGAAACAAAACTTAGACGAAAGGGACTTCGAACGTTGCTCCTATGCGGCCGTCTGTTACTGGGACATTCTGTGGTTAGCATCTTCCTGTTTCACTGCTCAGACCCTGTCTGAATAAGGGGGGGAATGTGCCAGCACATCAGATTTATTGCTTCCCCCCTTATGTTCAGTGAGATAGGGAGAGAACAAGGAGGGGTACTGGGACAAAGTTCATTTTGGATTTTTCAGATCTAAGCAATTTGCTATTAAGCTAAGCAGAAGCTTTCACGATTCAAACATGAATTATAAAATAATTGTAGAAATATCTGGTTATACATGGATATATAGATAACTGATAACTGATTATATGTATAACTGATTATATGAGAAGCATAAGGGTAAAATTCCTCCAGGTCCTGCTTCATAAATTTATATTAAAATAATTCATTCAGTTACCCAGAAGAGTCATTAGGCTTTTTTTTGCTGTAAGCTACTTCATACATTGTAAGAAGTGGGTCAGGAAACCCTTGATCCCGCTCCTTTAAATACCGAATGGGACTCCTAAATAAATATGAATAGGCCCAGGCTGTATAAAAACTGGTATAGGCACCATACTGAGATTTCTGTAACTACTCCATACAGGGCATGTTATAAGGTGATAGTAAATCTGCTGCATACATGTTATCTATGTGCTTTGTGGAGTACGTTTGGGGGCTTAGAGGAAATTTCCTCAACTACAACCCAAAACGTCTTATTTACCTACCACATATTGTCTGCCTCTTAGGTGCAAAAAAAGTGGCAGCCCTAATTCCTAGGCTGGCCCTGTGCAGGATCACATTCCATGGCTTTCCAATGAAGCTGCATTGAAGAATGTTAATGGATGAGAGAGACTGTTGTTTTTAAAAATGTTTTTATTAAATTCTTGGGTACACCCAGAGTTCCTGTTTTCAAGTCACAGAATCCTTCAAACAAATCAGTCCTATTCAGAGTGAGACAGTACTGTTCTAGACAATATGGAGTTGGGGGGGGGTGGAAGAAAAGTGGGAAGAGAGAGGGAAGGAAAGCGGGAAAGAAATAAACATTTCATTCATTTCTATAGTATGTGAGCTTTTGTGTCAGCGTCAGGTAAACAAGTATTTTATTTTTATTGGCAGTGGGAGAGACCAGAGGGCTCAGGAAGGTGGTCGGTTACAGGATATTCGTCAAAGCAACGACCAATCTCTGTGGTGTTTCAGAGTGACCCCCAATGGCTGTTCACACATGCGAGGGAGCCATTGCCTGCTGCAGTCAACATGTGGCGACCGTGTGTGTCTAAAATCCCAGGAGGCAGAGACCCAAATCTGGACCGAGACAAGGGGATGGCAGATCTCTAGCTAGGGATTGACCTGTGGGAATGTTTAGAAAGGAAGGAAAGGATATATTATTTGATGATATCCATACTAACTTGTGTTATCAAGTTCTCTATCTTAGCATAATTCAAACATTCTCCTTTTCAAATTTGCACAGCGGTAAGCTCGTTGCAGGCTCATGTGAGCCTCACTATTTAAGATTCCTTGTAAGATCCCTTGTTATCCCTCTTTAAAAGTGTAGACACGACAATCTTATTAAAATCAATATACAGGTAGTTTACTCATTTTCATTCAGTTCACAATTAGATTCCTGAAGGCAGGCTTATGTTACAAAAGTATATCTATATCTATATATAAACTATCATACAAAGGAGTTCGTCCCAAGTGATTGCGACTGAGCAGTCACTTCTCCTAACACATAGAGAGAGAGAAATGGAGAAGAAAGAATGACGTACATGGAGGAGGCAGAGATCCAAATCTAGACTGAGACAAGGGGATGGCGGATCTCCAGCTAGGGATTAACTCCAGCTCCTTCTGCCCCCTGACTAGAAAAATCATGTCCCCCACAAAAAAGCCCATCATGAGATTCCTTCCTCTTTCACTCTCCAATTTTACAAAGGCAAATTCCTATTATGCATCCCTGTATGGAGAAGCTTTTAATGCTGATGTTTCATTGGTTTTTAAAAAATACTCTGTTGGTCAGGACTTCCGGGTTGGCGCCATCGCCGAATGGCGGACTCCCTCCGAGCTCCGGAGGGAGCCTGCTCGGCAGGGGTTGGGTCTTACCGCGCCGGCGACGCGGGGACCCTTAAAACCCACGGCCACGGAGGCCGTGGACATGGTGACTCGGCTGGCACCGTTAGCGCCCTCCCGACTTGTGAAGGAGCCTTTTTAAAGGCTACGGATCGGGTGCCGGGGAGAGGCGCGGTGCTTTGAGTCCTCTGCTAGCCCTGCCGAGCGAAGCCGCATGCCATCCGGCGGAGAGCGCTGACTTCTTCCATTGAGAATTCGGACTTTTAACAACAACCCGTAATTTGGAAACCGGGTTCAAAAGGAGGAAAAAAAATTCTTTTTTTTCGGATTTGGCACGAGTGGGGGGGGGATCCAAAAAGGAAGTCAGTCCCCCTCCCTACTGTAAACATTCTAAAACAAGGACTGGGTAACCAAGGTCTAGAAAGAACCGTATTTTTGATAAAAACCAAGAATTTCACGATGGGAAACTACAAGAAACTGTGCTGGAGGAGAAGAGTGGAGGGAGAAGGAAAACGTAACCCCCCCCCCCGGGAACCGGGGCGATTGGAGAGAGAGCCTGGTGAAAAGAGACGGAGACTTTGACAGCTGTCAAAGTAGCTGTCAAAGCCGGAAAATTTAAAGAGGACTCTGTTTTGAGGACTTTGCTGGTTAAATTTGTTACAATTTGCTAAGATTCAGATAAAAAATGGCGAAAACATGGAACAACAACCAGACTTTTGGATTAGAGGAAACAAAGTTATAACAATCCCCCTAGAGGAGTTTCGGGACATTACAAAGATGGTTGTAAGTGGAAAAATACTTTCGGAATTGTACAGGACTGGTTATCTTCTGGGAAAGCTGCAAAACTGAAACAATATTATGTCTACAGGGGTGTTTACATTAAAGAAGACAATAGAATTTTCTATTGAAGAAAGGATGGGACTGAACACAAGTTTTACGTTTTAGCAGCGGAACAAGATGAAACTGGACTACAACATGGAAAGAACAATGGGGGGAGTCTCAAAGACCAAGGACTGGAGATTTGAAGTTAAATACCATAAAAACAACTTTAAATTAAAAAAAAAAACTGGCAAGGGACTGGGGGGGAAATCTGATTATGGATCTAAGAATTCCAGGCAGACAACATAGATTGGTGGACAGGGGGAACTCAAACTGGGGAAGGGGGGGGAGAATCAGACTCCAAAGGCATCTAACTATTTCTTGAATTTTTTTCTTTTATATATCTTTACATTGTTTTTCTCTATATATTTTGTTGGGTGTCCTTAATAGAAAAAAAAGGGAATTCGTGGAAGGAAAATGGGGGGACCTTGGGGAGAGAACTTTTGTTTTTTATTAAGGGTAATGATGAGGACTGTATAAGTTTAAATTTAGTTATTGGGTTAAACAAATTAAGTTTTAATCAGGAGGGAGAGCTTGTTGAGCCAACGATATGAAAGGGGAATATGGCAGGGATGGGGGAGGGGGGGAGTCCCAGAAAGTGGATGATGAAAATAAGGTTTCAAATACACTCTGTTTTTATCGTATCTTTACTTTCTGTATTCTGAAAATTTCAATAAATATGATTTTTTAAAAAATAAAAAAAATATTCTGTTGGGAACTGCCCTAGTGGCTGGGGAAACCCAGCCATTTGAGCAGGTACAAATAATGTTGTTATAATATTATTATTATGCTTAATTGAATAAGGTTTCAAGGAAGCCGCCGGAGGGAAGAGATGTTCTTGGGCTCCTTGCAGGCTTGGCCACCATGAGGAGACAGTGCTGGGATTCCTGCATTGCAGGGGGTTGGACTAGATGACTCTCAGGGTCCCCTTCCATCTCTATGATTCTAACGGGGACTAGATGGGCTTGATCAAACTACAGGGGTCTTCATGTGATCTGTCTGTGCATGCAGACGAATGTTTCTCTCTCTCTCTCTCTCTCTCTGTGTGTGTGTGTGTGAGAGAGAGAGAGAGAGAGAGAGAGAGAGAGAGAACCTTCAGGGAGAGGCCCCTGTCTCTTATTTGCAACTAGGATGAATCAGCTGCAATATTCCCACACTTGACCCACCGCTTCCGTGCCTGCTCTCTCTCCACCCCCAACTCCAATTCCATGGGTATTGCATTGCACAACCCCCCCCCCAAGCTTGCTGCACCCCGAGGCGCTTTGCACTCACCCTATTCCTTGCAAGACAAGTGCAGAGGTGGCGGGTCAGCTGTTCAGCTTAAGCCCCACGCCGTTTCCCAAGTCAGTATCGAGCATCAGCACCCTCCCCTCTAGCAGCTTGCACTCTCTGCCTTTAACCCTTAAGGCAACGAGCATCTGTTCCCTATACTCAAAGCCCAGGTTCCCTCCCTTCTCTCCCCATTGGCTGGGTACTGCAATTATCCCGCCCCCGGAAACATCCTGCCTCCCATTCCCGCCCCCGCTGCCCAGGGTCGCCGCCATCTCCAGGATTTCGTGTGAGTGCAAAGCCAGCGGCGGGGAAGGAGGGAAGGGGCTTGGCAAGGGGTGGGGGGTCCAGGATGAGAAGCCCCGGGACGGGGAGAAGAAGAGAAGGGAGGAAAGGGAGCTGTTTCTCTTAATGGGGCCTTGAAGGTGGAGGGGGGAGGGGTTTCCACTGTGGAAAGAGAGAAGCTTCCTCCTGCCCGGATCTGGTGCAAAGGGAGTTGCAGGAAGGAGGCGGGAAAGGGGAGAGGGCTGGGTATTGCAGACCAGCCTCGCGATAGTAGTAATAATAGTAATAATAATAATATGATATTTATACCCCCCTCATTGTCTGGGTTTCACCAGCCACTCTGTGCGGCTTCGAACAAAATAAGAAACACCAAAAACATCCAAACATCCAAGTCTTCCGTTTTGTAGAGGAGATGGGGACATGGATTGCTGGATGGCAGAGGGAGAAAGAGGAAAAGATGGGGAGGAAAACAAAGCCAGGGGGGTCCTGGCAGGAAGAAGGAAGGGGGGAGGCCTCCTCCAAAGAGCTCTTTGTTCTTGAACTCCTTGCATAAAGTAGTGGGGGCAGGTTTGATGAGGCCCTAAGCTACTGGAGTTAAAGGGGCCCTTTATATGTCCAGCTGTCCTTTGTCAACAGCAGATTGTCGCGGTTTTTTGTGTTGAATATAGGCTGTATGGTAATTTATGGACCTAATCGGTATCTAAAACCATCTGCACATAACAGAGTATGTATTTTCTCAAAGTAATTGTTGAACTGAAATACAATTACAAAGCATATTAATAGTGAAATAATTATTAAGCTGTAACTTAAAATGATTTTGTTATTCATAACAAACTTAATAATGCAAACACATTGGCATTTGGCAATAACAAAAGTTCCTTTAGAAACACAATTTACAAAGACTCCTAATCTAGCCCTAGAATCTTGCTATAATAATAGGTGCAAATATATAATGCAAACTACAGTGGTGCCTCGCAAGACGAAATTAATCCTTTCCTCGAGTCTCTTCGTCTTGCGGTTTTTTCGTCTTGCAAAGCGTGGCTTAGCGGCTATTAACGGCTTAGCAGGGGGTTGGGTATTGCAGACCAGCCTCGCCATAGTAGTAGTAGTAATAGTAACAACAACAACAACAACAATAATAATTAAAAAATAAATAAATACATAAATGCTATTTATACCCCGCCCCCATTTTCTGGATTTCACCAGCCACTCTGGGCGGCTTCCAACAAAATAAGAAACACCAAAAACATCCAAACATCCAAGTCTTCCGTTTTGTAGAGGAGATGGGGACATGGATTGCTGGATGGCAGAGGGAGAAAGAGGAAAAGATGGGGAGGAAAACAAAGCCAGGGGGGGCCTGGCAGGAAGAAGGAAGGGGTGAGGCCTTCTCCAAAGCAGCTTTTTGTTCCTTGAACTCCTTGCATAAAGTAGTGGGAGCAGGTTTGATGAGGCCCTAAGCTACTGGAGGTCATGGGGCCTTTTATATGTCCAGCTGTTCTTTGTTAACAACTATTTGTCGCTGTTTTTTGTGTTGAATATATGCTATATGGTGATTTATGGACCTAATAGATATCTAAAACTATTTGCACATAACAAAATCCGTATTTTCTCAAAGTAATTGTTGAACTGAAATACAATTGAGAAGTATATTAATAGTGAAATACAATTAAGTATATTAATAGTGAAATAATTATTAAGCTCTAACTTAAAATGATTTTGTTATTCATAACAAACTTAATAATGCAAACACATTGGCAGTTGGCAATAACAAAAGTTCCTTTAGAAACACAGTTTACAAAAAATCATGATCTAGTCCTAGAAACTTGCTATAACTTGAAATTATAATAGGTGTAAATATACAGTGCAGACAACTACTAATAATAAATACATTTATTAATATGAATTTAATTGTTATAGCCTGTACAATGTAATTGTAGTTAATGCAATGCATTTTTTTATATCAGTCTCAATATTACCATAATAGTCCACATTCTTCATTGGGACAGCAGACCTTTGTACCCTGTTAGTGAGTGTAAAAGACAGTATTTCTAGTAATATGTCACATTACAAATAATAGCAATACTATACACACCTGTACATAAAAATTATTTTACAGGACTAATTGTATTACTGCATCTACCCAATACCCATTCAACTGTATAATTTTATCATGATTCATTGTGTACTCTGTATACAAACAGTACAGAAACATGATCTAAATTACAATACTTTCTTGCCTTTGCCAAAGCAAAGTCACTGATGATATCATCAAATGATAAACTGCTTAGCTTGTCACTTTCTATGTACATGAGGCTGAAGTAATTTATCTTGAGACATTGTTGTTCCAAATTCGTTTTTTATCCTCTTCAGTCAAGAAACGGATCTTTACAAATGGCAATTTGCAATCATCATTCAGAGGAACATTCTCAGAATTGTTTCTACATTAGGGAATGCTGACTGGACACCGTTGTTGTTCTTTAGTCACTTAGTCGTGTCTGACTCTTTGTGACCCCATGGACCAGAGCACGCCAGGCACTCCTGTTTTCCACTGCCTCCTGCAGTCTGGTCAAACTCATGTTAGTAGCTTTGAGAGCACTGTCCAACCATCTCGTCCACTGCATATAAGTTAAATAAGCAAGGAGACAATATACAGCCTTGACGTACTCCTTTCCCAATTTTGAGCCAATCTGTTGTTCCATATCCAGTTCTAACTGTTGCTTCATCAGCTCTGAATCTACTTGTACTTGTCCTCCGCTCTTCCTCAGTAGCATATTGGATGCCTTCCGACCTGAGGGGTTCATCTTCCAGTGTCATAACTTTTATACGATCATGGAGTTTTCTCGGCAGGGATACTGGCGTGGCTTGCTGGTTCCTGCTCCAGGTGGATTACGTTTAGTCAAAACTCTCCACTTTGACCTATCTGTCTTGGGTGGCCCTGCACGGCATAGCTCATAGCGTGTCTGAGTTATTCAAGCCCCTTTGCCATGACAAGGCAGTGATCCATGAAGGACACGGTCATTAAATATTACTTGGTACAGATCCTGATGTGTCAGATTTTGACTTTTTAATGTATTGATGAAAATGGTTGAGTTCTCCAACAAGGTTCATGTCCACATCTTCAGGATATGTTTGGCTTAAAGCATTAACTTCTTCATGAATCTCTTCTTTTCCAGCATCTAATTTTGTTAAGAATGAAATAATAATAATAATAATAATAATAATAATAATATCCATGATAATAATAATAATATTATTATTATTATCCATGATAATATTTTATATTGTTATTATTATATATATATTATTATTATCCATGATAATAATAATAATAATAATATTTATACCCCAACCATCCGGCTGGAATTCCCCAGCCACTCTGGGCGGCTTCCAACAAAAAAATAAAAATACATAAAATTGTCAATCATTAAAAACTTCCCTAAACAGGGCTGCCTTCAGTTGTCTTCTAAATGTCAGATAGTTGTTTATTTCCTTGACATCTGATGCAGGGTGTTGCACAGGGCGGGTGCCACCAGTGAGAAGGCCTGGTTCCTTGTAACCTTGCTTCTCGCCAGAAGGCCCTCAGCGCTGGACCTCAGTTTCTGGGCTGAACGATGGGGTTGGAGACGCTCCTTCAGGTATACTAGACAGAGGCCGTTTAGGGCTTTTAAGGTCAGCACCAACATTTTGAATTGTGCTCAGAAACATACTGGGAGCCAACGTGGGTCTTTCAAGACCAGTGTTCTGTGATCTCGGTGGCTGCTCCCAGTCACCAGTCTTTTTTGCAGCATCATTGTATACTGATGCCCTTTGTGCCAGATTCGATTCTAATCCATCCATCGCAGGTATAAATGCTTTGATTCTCAACTTGTTTCTTGGCTCAAGGTTCTCTAAAGCTTCATCTTCATCCTCACCTATATGCCTCCTTATAGATCAGCAGTTCTCAACCTGTGGGTCCTCAGATGTTGTTGGACTACAACTCCCATCATCCCTGAGCTCTGGCCTTGCTAGGTAGGAGTGATGGGAGTTGTAGTTCAGCAACATCTGGGGACCCACAGGTTGAGAAAGGCTGTTCTAGATCTTCTTCTGCTTTTCTTGTAATCAACATCAGGCAATTTGTCCTTTGCCTGTTCTTTGAAATGATCAAAAAGATCTCTGGAACCAAGTTCCTCCATTTTATTCGAAATGTTTGTGGCTTGATTACTTGTTTCACCCTTCTCTGTGGTATCAATATGCAGCCAATGCAATGCAGAAATTATTCCATTGTAACTGCCAAGTTCTGCGCTTGTGGCCCTTGAATGAATTTCCCATCTAGTCTTTGACAAAAACTCTGGAACTTTTTTAAAAAAAATATATATTTTTATTCAGATTTTATAACAAATTTAAGCATAATCAAAACACCAAATTACCGTATTTTTCCGTGTATAAGACTAGTTTGTTTGTTTTTTACCCCCAAAAAAGTTTTAAAATTGGGGCTCGTCTTATGCACAGGTAGTGCTGAGGGGTGTTTTCTTAATTTGGAGTCCCTCCAAATAGGGGGTGTCTTATACATGGGGGTGTCCTATAGACGGGAAAATACGGTACATTTTACGCTCCAATTAATCTCCCCACCCCCCATGACTTCCCCCAACTTCCCTTTTTGGGTTATAGCATATTCATTTCTTCTATTTATAATTTCATACACCTTATATATTGAAAATTAAAATTATACCTTATAACCCTCCCTTCTCCTTCCTTCCCCAGCAAAGCGGGCGCTTTAGGCACAGCCTCCAGCGCGAACCTGGGCCCTGGGCAGGGTTCTGCTCGTTCCCTCGCTCACCCAGGGAGGTATCTGGGCAGCCTGGCCTGCTAAGCCTTGCCCTCCCCCCTACTGTCA